TGAGTGTCTGAGACCATTCCTCATCGGTATACCGGGAACCCACTTCTACAGGGACTGTGCGGCAGCCGGCGATTTGACGGAGATAATCCAGACTAGAAGAAAGCAGGTTCCATTATTTTCAATCTTTGCTCTAACATTTTCATTATTTTTCCTGGTTTGGATGTCAGATGGGAAATCCATTTTCTGAGAGGGTTTTGTGAACAAAGAACATTAGCGTCACAGAGCAGCTGCCTTTGTCCTTTGCCCTGACTAAGAAGATTATGGAAACATCCTGAGCACTCCAGTGGAGAATTTACCTGAGGGCACGGGCAGCGGGTGAACCGCAGGCTGGGAGAGGCTAGCCCCTAGCTGGCCCCACCCTCCCCTGCGGCCCCAGTCCCCTTCCCCAACCAGAGCCCCCCTGCCCCAAGCACCAGGTGGGCAGCGCGTGGACCCCGCCTGCCTCTGAGTGCAGGGCGGGTAGGCAGCGCACAGTCCCCCCAAGTGCAGGGAAGGCGGGCACCCCCCCCGAGCACAGGGTGGGCGGCACATGGCCCCTCCCAGTCCCAATCACAGAGTGGGCACCCCAGTGCTTCCAGCCCCCATGCCCCCAGTGCTGGGTGGCCCCAGCAGCACTGACGAGGATTAGCCTGTCTGGGCTGGGGCCAAGGGGGAAAGGGCAAGTGGGAGGGGGCTTCGGGGATAAGTGTGGGTGGGGCCATGCGGGGCTGTTTGTGGGGGGCACAGCAGTCCCCAGCCTATTGGATGCGGCGCTCGTGCCTGATGGGTGTCTCAGGAAGTATTGTTTACATGCCATTTGCCAGAAAGAGTATCCCTAAGAGGAGAGGTGGAAGCTGCATTGCTTGGAATATTATTATTATTTTCTATTTACACAGCACCTGAAGTCTGGTAGGCGATTTACAAGACTAATATGCAGAGAAAGCCTCTGCTCTCAAAAGCCAGCCAACCAGAGAGACCGAGGATGCAAGCAGCAAAGGAATGAGCAGTGAGGTTTATATGCATCTTAATACCACAATTTTTCTTCAGTTAAAAAACCCCTATTTCCTATTTGAAAACATCTTTGAGAAGAGAAAAAGGGTTTATAAAAGTACTGAGTGAATAATGAACCATAATTTATTCAATGAACATAGCTTCTATTGTGCTTGTGGAATAGCAGCAAGCAGGTGAGGGTTTCCTCAAATTCATTTGAGAGTTTTTTGTAAATTTATTTTACTCTATAGATTAATCATGTGCTTTTGGCTACAAATATTCATTACACAATATTGAAATTTTAGGTGCATTGCTTAGTTGAATGTTAAGGTAAGTCACATGATATCATTAGGCTGAGCCTGCAAGCACTTCCAGTGTTAATATTTGTGCTTGTAAATGAAAAATTTCATTTCCAATAATTCTTGGACATGCAACTTTGAAATTCACTTTCATCAAATATTTCTCAGTAAATCTTGATTGTGTGAATGCTTGCAGAAAGAAGAGACGTGGCTGAGGCAAATTCAAATAAATAACCATGAGAATCTTTGGCAATATATGCCCAGCTCTGATATATAGCACTAGAAAATGCATCAAAGAGAGGTTCCCTGCATTGGCTTCCGAAAAGATGGCATGGATGACAAACCAGCTCTCTTCCAACATCTGATTTCTATTATTCTATCATTAGCCAAGCAAATCTATTAGGATGCAAGTTTCTGAACTGGATCTGTTGCACCCAAGTTCTATTAGCAATGAAAAATATTTCAGAAGTAGAGCAAATTATGCAGCAAGATGATGCTCCTAGCAGGAATCACTGGAACTGGCATTTCATACCTTACAGAGGCATACATTGTTCTGGGCTTAGTTAACTGGTGCAGAAAACATGCTTGCTTAATCAGGGCAAGAGATGATGCCGTTTTTAAGCTCTTGTCCTCACCTCCATTTCTTCATACATGGCCAGTGGTCAACAATACCCTCCAGGATGACAGGCTTTTGTGGAATCATATAATTTTCTCTGAAATGCTCTAGAGAAGGGCAGTGAAGCCGTGGAATAACTTCTTCTGATTTTACTGATGGAATGGTAGTGTGGTCATTCCGGATTTTCTGAAACACAGGGATTTTTTAGCACAACAAAGTAACCTGCCCTTTACTACATCAGAAAACATGTATGTTAAAAAACAGTGTTACTCTCTCCCAGCAAAGGAGATGCTGAAATCACTTGAATTGAGGGTGTAACATAAACAGGGAAAAGCGCCATCAACCTGTGGAACTTCTTGCCAGAGGATGTTGTGAAGGCCAAGACTACAACAGGATTCAAAAAAGAACTAGATAAATTCATGGAGGATAGGTCCATCAATGGCTATTAGCCAGGACGGACAGGGATGTGTTTCTAGCCTGTTTGCCAGAAGCTGGGAATGGGCGACAGGGGATGGATCACTTGATGATTCCCTGTCTGTTTTTTCCCTCTGGGGCACCTGGCATTGGCCACTACTGGAAGGCAGGATACTGGGTTAGATGGACCTTTGCTCTGACCCAGTATGGCCGTTCTTGTGTTCCTAAACAGAACGGGGATAAAATCCTCAGCACTCCTCCAACCTGCAAAGACTTCCCAAAATGCCCAGGAGTCTAAAGTAAAACTGCTCTTATGTCCTAAGCGCATATGGATGGAGAAGCCAGATTTACAGCTTCCCTCAGACATACTAGTGAGTGTGGGGGGAAGCTGACCTCTCCTTTGTATTGCCTGCCCTGCCTCTTTGTGTTGCATGTCAATGGAACAGCCTACAGCGTCTCACAAAAATCTCACAATTAGTAGTGGTGGACTGACTTATGGAGGCTGGAATCATCAGTTCTTTTCTCGGCAGCAGGATATGGAATAGGAACAAAAGCAGAAAAGGAAGAGAGATTTCAGCGGGTCACCAAATTAAAAAAAAGTAAAATGAACAAGAAATTCTCCAAGCTGCACTGAGAGCTGCTGCAAGTGGCAGCTCTTATAGTGTATCAAAGTAGTTCTGTGTATGCAGAAAGAGTGATTTTGTGAATCCCAGGATGGGGAACCTAGAGACACTTTTTCCTGTCTTTGCCACTGACTCACTGCGTGACCTCTGGCACATCACATATCCATTTTACAGATGGAGAAACTGAGGCACAGAATGGTGATGATTCTCATTTATAGGGCCTGCAAGGATCAATTCATTCATGTTTGGAAGATCTTTTGACTGAGATCCTTGAATGGAAGGTACCACAAAAGTGTGATAGAGGCCTCCCATTAATTGGGAAACCAGAGGATGATATAAGCAAGAAGTAGATAAAAAATGGGACAGAATACCTTTAGATCTGCAAATAAACTGAGAAAACAGGATGAAAAGTTCCATGTAAACAAACAAAAACAAAAAAAGAGGAATGATTGCATAAAAGCATCATCTTCTGCCTCTGTAAAGCTCATCTCATTTGTATTGCCTGAGATCTCTGCTTTTACCCAAGAACGAGAGAGACCCAGTTACATGATTTACCCCCCAAGGTCAGTGGCTTCTTGACCCAGCCTGGATTTTGGGATCTAGTTATTTGCTGGAATACCAGTTCCCATTCTCTCTGTATGTAATACAGTGGTGGACAAGAACATTGAGAACTGCTACCTTTCTAGGTGACTCCTTTGTGTCTTCTTCAGCAGACCGTTTCCCATACGTTAGATGCTTCTGAAGGACATTAATTATCCTAACCAGGATGTTATCCAATATGGATGCTCCCATCAGCAGTCCCATGTCACAGACCCGAATGGCATCTGCTATGGTGCCTTGCTCACTGCACATACACAGCACTTTGAAAAGGCAGCCATAAGAATAGACTCGTCGCCAGTCCTTGTCCACATCTCTCCAAGTCCCAATATTAAGCTTTTCCCAAGAGTAATCTATTATTATTTCACTGACTTGTAAGCAGGTTTCCCTTGTGCCTCCAGAGCACAGGCTTCCAGCTCCATAGAGGAGGTCTCTAGCTTGCTGGAGCAGTGAGATGACACTTTCCTCCACTTTCTCGCTGAAGTCCAGTTTCAGGTCTTTCTTAGTGCTGGGCAGCAATGCCCTGACGTCTGCCCACAGGGCATTCCCTGCTGAGACCTGATCTGCAGCGGGGCTGGAGCTCCTGGCTCGGCCCTCAGGGGAGCTGGGTTGTGACATGAGAACCCCTGGGGCTGACTACGCTACTGGCCAGCTAGGAGTAAGGGCTGGTTCTCTTGCCCGCCAGCTCCTGTAAGCAAACACAGATGTTACTTGTGAGCAGAGCCAAAGGGGCCCAATGTGGAAGCCAGGCAGTCACAGTGCCACACTGAGAGCTCCTCCCCCCATGCACCCCTCCTCCCCCCCAGAGCACCCCTCCTCCCCCAAGAGCACCCCCTCCCTCTGAGAGCCCCCCCACCCCTAGAGCACCCCTCCTCGCCCCATGCACCCCTCCCTCTGAGAGCCCCCCCCACCCGTAGAGCACCCATCCTCCCCCCATGCACCCCTCCTCGCCCCATGCACCCCTCCCTCTGAGAGCCCCCCCCACCCCTAGAGCACCCCTCCTCCCCCCATGCACCCCTCCTCGCCCCATGCACCCCTCCCTCTGAGAGCCCCCCCACCCCTAGAGCACCCCTCCTCCCCCCATGCACCCCCTCCTCGCCCCATGCACCCCTCCCTCTGAGAGCCCCCCCACCCCTAGAGCACCCCCCTCCTCCCCCCATGCACCCCTCCTACCCCCCACCTCCCCCCAAGACCCCTCCGCCCAGGCGCCCCTCCCCCGCGCAGCCCGGGAGGGGGGAACCGCCTCGCACCTCTCCGCAGCGCCGCCTGCCGGAGCCCTGCAGCCAGCGCCCCGCGCGCCCCCCGCGCTCCGAGTTCCGCATCTACTGGGCCTGCGCAGCCCCGCCCCCACCCGAGCTGAGAGCGCGGCCCGACCATGGCTCCGCCTCCTGCCGTCCTCCCCCCCCCCACCGCGCGCGGGCCCAGCGGGGGGGGCGGGGCGGGGCGCGCGCGGCGGCGGCGCTCAGAGGGCGGGGCCCGGCCGCTCGCCTCAGGCTCTGCGCGGCCCGAGTCCGAGTCGGAGCCGGAGTCGGGGCTGGGGCCGGGCGGGCGATCCGGGCCCGCGTCGGACCGAGCCGGGCAGGTCCCCGCCCCTGGCGCGCGCCGGTGGGTGGGAGCCCGCCCCAGCCCTGCCTGGCTGTCCCGACGGGGGGCCCGGCTGGGGGGGGGCGCCGGGCGCGGGGGGGGGGGCGCTGCTCAGTGTTCGCGGCGCGCGGGAGACGCGTTCTCCGAGCAGGGCGGCGGCGCGTCAGAAAGACCGGGGGGGGGGGGTAAGGAAGCGCCCCTAGGGAGCCGGGGCTGCGGGGGGGAGGGGCTGTCGGATGGGGGGGGAGCCGGGGCCGCGGGGGGCTGTCGGATTGCGGGGGGGGGAGCCGGGGCAGCGGGGGGCTGTAGGATTGCGGGGGGGGGAGCCGGGGCCGGGGGGCTGTAGGATTGCGGGGGGGGAGAGCGAGCCGGGGCTGTGGGGGGCTGTAGGATTGCGGGAGGGGGGAGCCGGGGCAGCGGGGGGGGGGAGGAGCCGGGGCTGCGGAGGGGGGGAGCGAGCCGGGGCCGTGGGGGGCTGTAGGATTGCGTGGGGGGGGAGCCGGGGCAGCGGGGGGCTGTAGGATTGCGGGGGGAGCGAGCCGGGGCCGCGGGGGGCTGTAGGATTGCGGGGGGGGGAGCCGGGGCAGGGGGGGGCTGTAGGATTGCGGGGGGGAGGAGCCGGGGCTGTGGGGGGCTGTAGGATTGCGGGGGGGGGAGCCGGGGCTGCGGGGGGGGGGAGGAGCCGGGGCTGCGGAGGGGGGGGAGCCGGGGCCGCGGGGGCTGTAGGATTGGCGGGGGGGGGCCGGGGCCACGGGGGGCTGTAGGATTGCGGGGGGGGAGCGAGCCGGGGCCACGGGGGGCTGTAGGATTGGGGGGGGGAGCTGGGGCTGCGGGGGGGAGGGGCTGTAGGATTGCGTGGGGGGGGAGCCGGGGCAGCGGGGGGCTGTAGGATTGCGGGGGGGGAGCGAGCCGGGGCTGTGGGGGGCTGTAGGATTGCGGAGGGGGAGCCGGGGCTGCGGAGGGGGGGCCGGGGTTGCGGAGGGGGGGTTGGCTGTTGGATTGCAGAGGGGAGCCAAGGGGGGGTCTGTAGGATTGCGGAGGGGAGCCAAGGGGGGGGTCTGTAGGATTGCGGAGGGGAGCCAAGGGGGGGGTCTGTAGGATTGCGGAGGGGAGCTGGGGCTCGTGGTGGCCGCCCGTGGATGGTGAGCTGGGCCTGTGACGCCCTGCGGGGATGGGAGCATTACTCCTGCACCCTACGCAGGCTGCTCCTGCTAATTATTCCACTCCAGATGCCTGCCAAGGCCTCCTCTGGGCCAGCCTGTCCGGGGTGCTACCCTTTAATAGAGACGTGGACAGGCTGGAGAAAGTCCAAAGGAGAGCAACAAAAATAAGATGGGTAGAAAACATCCTCTATAAGGAAAGATTAAAAGAATTCAGCATGTTTAGAGAAGACGGAGGGGGCATTATAACAGTCTTCAAATACCTGAAGGTGGTTAGAATGAGGGTGGTGATCAGTTCTCCCTGTGCTCCAAGGGTGGGACAAGAAGTAGTTGGCTTAATTGGCAGCAAGTGAGATTTAGTTTCGATGTAAGGAAAGGTTTCAGAGTAGCAGCCATGTTAGTCTGTATCCATAAAAAGAAAAGGAGTACTTGTGGCACCTTAAAGACTAACAAGTTTAGGGTTCTAACTATAGGGAGAGCTAAGCACTGGAACAGGTTACTGTCTTGGAGATTTTAAGTTCAGGTTAGACAAACATTTGTTAGAAATGTTCTGTGCATACTTAATCCTGCCTCAGCAAGAGAGGACGTTCTAAATGACAGCGTGAGGGTCTTTCCTCACTACGATTTTATCTTCTCCGTGTAACAAACTGTGTGTGACACAACATCCTAAACAGGTTTGGGGTAGAATTCTGACAATTTTAAATGTTAGAAGAGCAGGAAGCAGCTTGGGATTGCTTCCATCAGGCATGTTTTGGCGTCTTTGTGTTCTGGGCTCAGTCTATGACATGTATGGAGGATTAGTTATCTTGGTTAAGTGAGAGAGAGGTTCCATACCTTCTCTGAATTCTTTCACATATTTATCCTTATGTGGTTTCAGTTTGTCATTTATATCAGGCCTAATTTCCAGGGACTGCAGGCCTCTAGATTCTAGAGCAATATAAATAATAATAATGGCATCAGTCTGTAACCAATCAAGTCTCGCCAAAATTTCATTAGCCATGCCCTTCTGTCCAGGCACTAATAACCACTTATTTCCATCCCCTTTCTGGGTTATTCCATATGGTAATGTTTCCTAAAAGGCACAAGTAGAACCTTGATGCGTCATCACTTCCCTTTTAGCTGTTAAAATACCCATTTACAGATTGAAATTTGAACATAATGCTGTAGAATTAAAAAAACTGACATGCATATTATGTCCATGTAAATACTTAAGAGCAACATAGAAATTCAAACAAACAAAAAAAAAGTCATTGGGTTTGCAAAAAAAGAAAAATCCATCTTTTTCTCAATCTCCTTTATGTCCCTTTGATGTAGGATTGTTTGGAGAAGACAAGACCACCTCTGATCTGGACAGTCATTTGTGCAAAATATAAAGAGAGCTCTTTGCCACAAGTTGTGCTGGGATCTGGATTTGGTAAAAAGCATTTTGGTTTGAAAAACCGTTTGTCACTCAGAATAGGTTAATAGGCTACAGCCATGATTTTGCTTATGATGTGGCCATGAGGAAAGTAGTAGCGTTCCTTTGTCTGCCTGTATTGTATCTGCAGCTCTCCCAGTATATCGGAGACTTTTAGTAATGTGCTGATTTCTCCGCCTTCCAGATAATCAGTGAAAATGTTAAACAAAATGAGACCTAGCACTCGTCGTGGTAGAATCACTAGATATCTGCTCCATACTTCATCCATAACCATTTATTACTTCCCTGTGTTTATAGTTGGTCTGTCAGTTTTCAGTCTTCATGACTGAAATATCCAAACTGATTCCAATTATTTTTCTATTAAGATTTTACGAGGCACAGTCTCAAATGCTTTACTAAAATCCAAATATATTACATCTACTGTGATCCCTTCAACCATTAATTTTTGCAATTCTGTCAGAAAAGAGCAATCACATTTGTCTGGCAAGATTTATATTTTATAATCCCCCAGTACTGTTTATGTCTCATAACTGTTACCTTTCAGATGTTTAATTTTTTTTAATGAAAATGTATCTTCTATTATTTCACTAAGGACTTACAGGAGGGTAATTGAGGGATCTCTTTTCCTTCTTATTTTGAAGACTGGTACTGAGTTTGTTGTATTCCTCTCCACTTCATGATTTATTAAAAAATTATTGGCAAAATAATGTTTATGTTCATTCCTTTAACAGTTTATAAAACATGTAATCTGAATTTGCTAACTTTACATTGTAAATTTACAATGTAATCCCCCCTTACCTGCTATTTATCAATATGTGTTTTTACAAAGACTTCCTAATTTTCAAAACTCATTTTCTCATTCTGTTTTAAAATATTCTGTATATCACTGTCATTTTTAAGAGTTTATTAAACTGTTTTTATCAAGAATGTGTTCCTGTCTCCTTATTTGGTTTCTTTTCAGATTTTTGGTATTAGCTTCTCTGTTTCACTTCTGTTGCTATCCAGTAAGTATCCCCATTCAGGCCTTAGCTTATTTTATCTCATACTTAGTTTTATTGTCCAGGATCAGGCTCATTAGCAAAGCTGTGTCAGAGTCCCAGGACTGGAACAGAATGGGGTGCTACAGGTCATAGTTGAAAGACATTGACAAAGCCGTATGGCTGTTGCAATCAGGACTGAACTGTATTGGGTTTAGGATTATAATATGATAGTGGTCTGAGTCAGGTCACTGGACTTTGATAGTAGAAGCTTGCAGAGCACTTGCCTGCGTTGCACCTGGGTTTGGCCATTGGTACAAGTCTTTCCCTTCCAAGAACACTGATGGAGGAGTAGGGCATGTTACTGGATTTGGTTAATTATTGGGTTTGTCTTGTACATCTCTGATACTATTTCCTAATGAAGTATTGAGATCTGTAGTGTATTAACCTGTTAGCAGTACAAGGGCATTTACAGTTAACTGCAACACAGTGGAACACAACTAAATCTGTTGTATTCAAAACAATACATATATGGTGTTATTCGTCAGTATGGATCTTGGATTTGCAGCTTGTATTACTTGATGGTGGAATATGTGAGAACCAGGACCCTTTTTGAAGGGTAAAAACTCTTTTGAGTGCAACAGTTTATACCAATCATGTAGAGGCATATTGATTCCTACTCTACAGCTACAGAGAAAGCTAGATAGAAATGTTTAGGAGCAGAATTTTTGCTCTGCCTATTAGAAGTGTTACATAGTCCATTACAAATTATATTTGAAAGGTTCCATTTTGCGTGAAAAACAACTTGTTCAGGTTGGTAATATTTAACAGTTAAAATGGATTAAAATACTAACTAAGGATTATTTTCATTTTTTTTAGATAAAATGAAGTTTTAATGATAGGTTTTGCCCAGAATTGTTTGTTTTTAGTCACATTACTGGAGTGTGCATCCAATTTCTGAAAGCTGCAAAATTGGTCATTAGTCTGAACAAACAAAGCATAAGGAGTTTTTAGGCTTTGTGGAAGGGCACTGAACCCAAAACTATGATTTAGCAACAATAGGCTCTTTGCTCTTCAGATTGAAAAGCTGAAGCCGAAAAAAAAAAAATATATAACAGGCTTGAATCCTTTGGTCTTTAATTACCAATGGCTGGATCTCATCCTGCCATATAAAAACCTGGAGATGGACCACGAAAGGAGGAACACGTGCTGAAAATAGCTTGTCTCTAAAATGTGGCATAGCTCAAAAATAGCACATTGTATAAGAAGCAGGCTCTTTGTATTTTAAGTAATAGGGTCATAAATTACAGCTCATATTAAAGAGTAGAACTTAAAATTTTCCAAGGTTAATCTCATTAAATCCATGTGTGATGGGAAATATATATAGGACTGACTTACTCTTGTGACATAGTAGTATGTATTGCGGGTATAGTAAAAGAACATTGAACTATATTTCTAACCAAAATC